AGACGAAAATTTTGCCTAAATCTTTCAACCAAAAATACGCTTGCGAAAATAACTTTAAAATTTTCCTTCGAATCAGAACACACACATTCAACCCCCCTTTTGTGTGTTTTTCTGCTAACTTCAAAGGTCACTCCTTGTCATGCTTGTACAATGGGTGCTTATCGATGGTAGGTGTGTTGATGTCAAATTTCAACCACCCAGAGTCTATAAGTCCTTGCACACGAAATTGCAGGGCCATACATCGCTCCATGGAGTGCCCCGGAGAGTCAGAATGTTAGTCGCACCTTTCCTTAGGTTTGTACCGCGGTGGATAAGGGGGGTCCATCTTCTTCGTTGGAGGAAGTCATACTAACATCGAAGCCTCCAGGGGTTGGTAGTAGTTCTGCGTACGTGGTGGGCATTTTTTCTACTACTTTGTCATCTTTAGGCTTTACCTGTGGAACAGCTTTACTCTTTGGAGCAAAGATGACGGCGTGGACCCCTTCTTCCCTCTTCTTTTCGTAGGTTTTCCTGGGGTCGCAACTCGTCGGAGCCTACCCTATCTTCCCGCTTTTTAAGCCTTGCTCAACCCTCTCACCAATGGTGACTATGTCGGCAAAAAGGGTCGAAGTGTTCCCTATCATCTTGTCATAATAGGGTCCACTTAAAGAGTTGATGAACATTGTCACCATCTCCTTCTTAGATAATGAAGGCTCTATTTGCGCAGCCAATTCTCTCCATCTCTACGTATAGGTTTTGAAGAACTCATCGCCCTTCTTGCTCAAGCCTTGTAAATCAAACCTATCAGGAATTAGGTCAATGTTGTACTTGTATCGACGGAGAAAAGCGTCGACTAATTGTTTCCATGTCTGGATCTTCCCTCCATCCAACTGCATGTACCAGTTGAGAGTAGCATCTAAAAGGCTTCTCCTCCATAGAAAGCCTTGGAAAAGCTTGAGAAGAATCAAGGAGCCAGATCGGAAGAAAAAGATTAAGAGATTCTAGGACATCTATATATAATTTCGATTAGCTAATATTATTGAGTTCAATAAATTCATTCTAAATCAATTTCTTGTATTTAAAAATTTTAAGAAGTCTAACTCAATAAATGATTCGTCTATTTATCAAATTAGAAACTTTGCATTAAGTTTAAGAACTTATTCAACTAACAATTCTAAATCTATTCCTAGTTTTATAAATACTAATAATAATAGCTATGCAATATAGTCTTTTGAATATATTTTTTTATACATTAGAAAAATTTATTAAAAATAATATTTTTATGAATTTCATCTATTATTTAGCGAGTTTTCTTCGTGATTTTATATTTATTTAATAAATGTTAATCAATAATAATAAATAGTGTTTCGGAAAAAATGTGCAAGATAATATATTATTACAACACTCCTCAATTTTAAATTAATTAACATAAAATGATTATATTCTCCATCTTTTAAGATAAAAACAATTAAAAAAATCAAACAACACTATGTTCTTAATTTTTTTTTCTCTCATAATTTAAGATTTGATAACCCGTTTTGCAAACTAGTGAAAAACAATGTTCTTATGTGCAAGCAAAATCAATTTTTTGACATTTTGTTTTGATTGCTATATCAATTTAAATTAAGATTAAATTTAATTAAAATAGCAGTTATGGAAAAAATAATAAATAAAAAATAAATATTATTGTGAAAAAAGAGAAAATAATACATAATTATTCGTTATATTAATTTATATTAAAATTTTAATGTGTGTTACGATTAATATCGAGTAATTTGAAATTGTATTAAATTAATATATATATATTAATAATTATATTAATGTGAAATTAAGAGATTATTTTTCATTAAAATATTAGTTATAGAAAATAATTAAAAGTATGTATATTACTAATTACTTTTGTGTGGCGTAACAACCATATTTTTTTATTAAATTAAAAATCAATTTAAAATAAATCTAATAAAAATAATTTCTTTTATTTGAAAGTTGTGAATCCTAAATAATAATATGAAACCCTAATAGTGTGTTTGGATGAGAAATTTTACAAATTTAAGGAATTTTAAATTCTTGGCATTTGAATTACTTTGATTTCAATTTCTATCATTCTTAAAATATTTTGTTTGGATGAGTCAATTCAAATTTCTTAAATTTTAAATTGTTAGGTTGAATATGATAATTTGATTCCATCATAGTAAAATTGATTTAAAAATATATTTATATGTTGATATTTTTAAATTAAATTTTATAAAAATAAATATTAATCCATTTTTAAATATTTAATAATTTTAAAAATTAATATTAGATAATATTTAATAATTTTAAAAATTAATATAAGATAATATTTAATAATTTTAAAAATATTTTTAAATATCTAATAATTAAAAGAATGAAGAGATAAGATAAAATATATAGGTGAAATAAGAAAAACAAATATGAGGAATTTCAAATTCTCCCATTTTTTGGAGAATTTGAAATTCTACTATTTTAAGAAATTTTACAAATGCTTGGATTTCAAATTCTTTGTAAATTCCTCGTCCAAACAAAGTATTTCACTTCAAGGAATTTAAAATTCTTCAAATAAATGAATTACCCTATATAAATTCCTCATCCAAACACACCATAAAGGAAATCTGAAACAAAATCTCAAAAGCTGATGAAAATAAATTTGAAACTCACTGAGAATCCTTTTCCTAATTCGAAAATCAAACTCAAAGTCACGAAACTTGCACTTAAGAACCTTCTGCTCATTGTGTTCTTAACATCTGCTTGCACAATCGTTCATAAATTTTGGGGGTTTGCTCAGCCTTCGTTGATTCCATTTTTGTATGATTATTCGGTTTATCTCATAAAGAATTTCTCAATGCTTTATCCTAAGGTAACGACGCGATTCCATTTTTGTATGATTATTCGGATTATCTCATAAAGAATCTCTCAATGTTTTATCCCATGGTAATGACACAATTCCATTTTTATATGATTATTCAGATTATCTCAGTATAATTTGCTGAACTTCTACGTCAACCCTTCTTGCAGGTAAACCAATATTCTCATGGTGATTATATATGAACTTGTTCTTAGCCTTACACAGTGTTCATTTTTATATAATTCAAATTTATAATAAATGAATATTTTCAATATATAAATTATATTATAATTAAAATTTATAATAAATAAATATCTTTGAATATATTAATTATATTTTGAATTTACGATAAACAATTTAAGTTGCAAAATAAAGTTATTTTTAACTATTAGAGATGGAGATAGAAAAGTGTAGATTGGAAAGGACAGGTAGATTCACCTTAAAAAAAACGAGAAAAAATGGATAGGTGGTTAAGAAAATCTATATAGATAAAAATAATAAAAGGAAAAGGTGAAAAAAATGCAGTTTTGGCAATTTAAAACCACTGGGAAATGTGAAGCAAAGCAAACAACCATACATTTTTTAGCGGTGAAAAATCGCCAGAAAATGTGAAACAAGTCAAATGAGTCGATTTTTATGCATTTTGTGGCGACTTTAAACTTTCACAAAGTGATTGATTTTCCGACAAACCAACATCTAGACAATATACGTCACAAATCGTTTGCGTGATTTTTAACCCTAAAAAATACGAGAATAACTACTATAAATCACACATTTTTTTTAGTGTTAAAATATAATATATACATTTATTTACAAAACATGTGTCAACATCTAATAGTTGAACAAGGACGAGACATCGAGCCAATAAAGACTTAAAATTTAAGTTTAGGGTAAATAGTTTTCCTAATACAACTAGTAACTTTTTTAATTGAAATGCACATACGAAAAATGAAACAGTTAAAGCAAAAAAATATATATTTATAGAAGTAACGTCAATTTGCCGAAAATTAATTATATCAGTTAGTATATTATTTCAAAATAATTTATCTCATGAGCATATAATAAAAACCAGATGTTTAAATATTTTTAGTCAACGAATCAGATAAAATCGACGGAGAATAGTAGTGTAAAACTTAATAGCTTTTCTAACTCCTTATTCAATAAAATATCTTTTTAGTCAAATAAAACCATAGTGAAAGAAAAAAACCTACCCCAATATATTAACTCTCTCAATTTTTTGATTATACTTATGTTTGTACTATTAAAAATCACAATTGTAATCGGATTCTCAGGTAAATGTGAGTTGGATATGCCTTAACTCTTTTAAAGTAAAAAAAAATTAAAAAAAAAAACAAAAACAAAAAGGAGTGATGCTATAAGAGAATAGAGAAAAAAATTTGTGAAACATTCATGTTTTGACAAGGAGATGAAAAAAATCTTGTAGGAATTTCAGTAATTCATTGAATTTCAAACACAATGAAGAGATAATGTGTCATGATATAAGACAATGGAGGAGAAATCATCGCACATAGACAATAGAAGAGTGGTCGTCGAGATGGGGAGGAGGTGAGGGATGACAAAAGCAACAGAGTGACCATCGTGCATAGGAAACGAAGGTGCGACCATCATTGTTTTCACTTCAAGAGAAGCTGTGATGAAGATTTGTAGGATTTAGGGTGGGGAGGAACAACAATGCAACGAAGGCATACCGTGTGTAGACAACAAAGGAGCGGCTATCGCAATTTTATTTCAACAGAGAAGTCAAATCTGATGAAGATTTGAAGAATTTGGGGGGTAAGTGTAGAAGGGATGGATAGGTGGTGATAGGATGAAGTGCGACTGTCACAAGTAGAGGAGTTATGGATCTGCTTAACTGGAAACATAGGATTTGTGACAATAAAAATATATATTAGAATAAAAGAATATATTATAGAATGACACAAAAATATTATAGAATGATAAATAAGCATTTTTATTGACATAATATTTTAAAATTATTTTAAATTGATGTATTAACTTAATATAGAATAGTTTGACTTTTATATTATAAATATATATGTAAATATAAAATTTGAACACTTCATTGGTATTCTTGAGCCTTAAGGAAGTAACGCAGGCAGAAAGTTCCAGAATACATATTTAATATTTAAATTATTCATATAATGCATGAAGTTTAGTTTTCATTCTGGATGAAATCAAAGTGATCTTTATCAACACAAGTTGCTAAATGTATTGAGATCTAGATCAATAGAAAATTGAAGTGAAACTGAGATGGCAAATCCAAAATTCAGTTTCTGTTTCCTATTTGTTGTTGTAAGCTATAGCATACTGATTCCAAATTGCTGCCTTGGCGTTATATGCTCGCCAAAACAACACGCTGCTTTATTTGTATTTGGAGATTCCTTATTTGATGTTGGAAACAATAATTACATCAATACTACTGCTGATAATCAGGCCAATTACTCTCCATATGGGGAAACCTTCTTCAAGTATCCAAGTGGTAGATTTTCTGATGGTCGCGTCATTCCAGATTTCATAGGTATGTAAGAATTTTAGTTTTAAGGAACTTACTTAGTTAACATATCTGCATGCAATACCTTAGTGCTTCTAAACCTATAATAATGTGAGGACTTTATTAATTGCAGCCGAGTATGCCAAGTTGCCTCTAATCCAACCATATCTGTTTCCTGGTAATCAACGATACGTTGATGGAGTCAATTTTGCATCAGCAGGAGCTGGGGCTTTGGTTGAAACCCATCAAGGACTGGTCTGTTTTATGCTCTTTTTTTCTTAAACTAATTAAGGATGAATAAGTGCTGTACTCTTTTTGACTTAGTCGTTAGCTTTAATTATATCCAACCTTAGAAGTGTATGGTATCCATTCTGATTTCTGATATTTAATTTCAGGTGATAGATCTGAAAACTCAACTAAGTTATTTTGAGAAAGTGAGCGAGGTATTGAGGCAGGAACTAGGAGATGCAGAAACCACAACTCTGCTGGCCAAAGCTGTTTACTTGATTAACATCGGAAGCAATGATTATGAAATCATTCTATCAGGAAATACGAGTACATACACTGCTGAGAAATTTGTAGACACAGTAGTAGGTAATATTACGACTGTGATCAAGGTATGCACAAGTTACTTCTGCACTAACCATCAAAGTTCAACTTGATATAATCAATCTTCTACAATTCTAATTGTTTATCTAATCTGAAATGTTAGGGGATACACAAGACAGGAGGGAGGAAATTTGGAGTTCTTAACCAGCCTGCTGTGGGTTGTATTCCACTGATCAAGGCACTAGTAAATGGATCTAAAGATGTTTGCGTGGAAGAAGCTTCAGCACTAGCAAAACTACATAACAGTGTGCTTTCTGTGGAACTTGACAAGTTAAACAAAGAACTAAAAGGATTTAAATATTCATATGTGGATTATTTTAATTTATCTTTTGATGTTATAAACAATCCTTTAAAATATGGTAGGTAACTGTACATTTATTGTAAGAGAAAATTTAATCTGCTGATATGTATCTGTTTTGATTTTTTGCCTTACTCTGTTGTAAAGGGTTTAAAGAAGGCGATGTAGCATGTTGTGGCAGCGGGTCTTACAGGGGATATTACAGTTGCGGAGGAAAAAGGGTTGTGAAAGATTACGAGTTATGCGAGAATCCTAGCGAATATGTCTTCTTTGACTCTGTTCATCCCACTGAAAGGGTTCATCAGATTGTTTCCCAGCTAATATGGAGCGGAAATCAAAGTATTACAGGCCCATATAATCTTAAAACATTATTTGAAGAATAATGCAAAATAAATGTAATAGGCTATCATAATTGATAAGATTATTTTATGATATTTGTCTGAGAGAATATTTTTATGAAAACTATTTTATATGGGTTATTATATAAACATACTCCACAATAATGAGATATTGTTCGTTTTAGGTTTTAGCCCTCACAGTTTTACTTTTGGTTATTATCCAAAAGGCTTCTTGTTATTTCTTGTTTTATTTTATATGTTATGAGTTACGCGGGATTATGGAGTTATTGATTATTACTGAATCTAACCTGGAGCTATGATGGCATAGATGAGGTTATTTTATAGTATTTGTCTGAGAGAATATTTTTATGAGGGTTATTTTATAGGGTTATTACATAAATATATTCTACAATGATAAGATATTATTCACTTTGAGTTTTAGCCTTCACGATTTTGTTTTTGTTCATTACTTAAAAGACCTTTCAATCATTAAAGTATATTTGTATTATATAAGTTATTATTTCTTATTTTATTTTATCCACGTGAAACTTGTTACGAAAAAATTCTGAAACAGTTCTTTCATAATAGCGTGCCACTATCCTTATCCTTATATCTGTTGACTAAATAAATTTATATATTGACAAGTCTCCATAATATTTCCCAACTTACCACTCCTTCTCTCTATAATCCATCGGAGTTAATATAATGTCAATACTACTGTATAAATGCATAATGGACATTTGAAAATTTTGCTGCCAACAAGTTTGAAACGTTCAACAGTGACACCTAAACAAGGCAGGAGAATTAGCATATGAAATTCAATATTTGTCGGCACAAATAATTGGGGATAACTTTTGCAATTACAACGAAGTTTCCATTGATAAGCAAAATTTAAATTAAAATGTTTTAGAAGTCAACCGTAGAAAGTTGTCTTATACTGTACGTAGTATCGTATATTGGATTAATCGACTATCAATATTATAATTATAATATGATAAAAGAATGTTTTTTATCCAGCCAAATGTCACCCAGTATACTATATTATAATTATAATTTTATTGAGATTGAGTGGCGACAAAATGACACTAGCTTCTTCATTAGACCGATCAGTCGAATCGGTTGAATCGGGAATCGATGATCTAGTTAGTCTGAATCTTGAGTTGAATTGGTTATGCACTTTAACTGTTTTAAATTGAAATGAATTGGTCAATTTTTTGGTTCAACCAGTAAACAGGTTAAATCGGTTCAACCAGAATTTTTTTTAAGGGCCCATAAACCACAAAAGTAAAAATGGGAATTGAATCTTGTCAATAAAAAAGCAAAGAATCTTATTAAACATAACAATGACTACTTATTCTAATGTATTTGTTTGTAATATATGTAATTTAAATAACTTTTATAATATATTATTAATTTTAAATTATATATTTAATAATATAATATTTATGTAGATATTACATATATTATTTTGTGATATCAATTGTAAATAAATTATATATATACATATTATTTATATTTTTAATTTGTATTAATATACAATTTAATGTGTAATTTTTTATGTATTTCTTTATACAAAATAAAAATAAAGATAATTTTAAATAAGATGGAAATTAAAATTTAAAATGGGATATGAATTTATTGAAATTTATAAGTATAAAAATATTTAACATCAATATTTTTTTAAAAAAATTAATCAAAAGTGGGTCATGCAATTTGATTAATGACCTACCGATTTAACCTTTAACCCATTAACTCAATATTCTAACCGATTTGATGACCGGTCCGATTTTTAAAACTATATCTTCAACCTCCAATAGTAGGGGAGGTCACCATCACTTTTGAGGATGTGTCATCTCTTTTACACCAACTCATTGTTGTCATGTGATAATGTAGTTCTCTATGTGATGCATATGCTCGAGACATGTATGAGTAGACACTCGATGAGTGGTTGATAGGCATGTATCATTCGCACATCGAGATTAGTCATTTATGTAATGAGAGCTTATCTCACCTACAATTTGTTGGATGCATGATGTTTGCTCACTCTGTAAGTGAGTTGGATTGAGTCAAATAGATAGATCTTTTATTGATTTAATTTAAATTTAATGTATTAAATTGAGTTGGATTTATGTGTTTTTTTTATAAATAATTTAATTTAATTTAATCATAAATTGATTATATTGATTCTAATTGACTAGGTTAATATAATTAAATTTATTTAATTTGATATAAAAATTTAAATAAATGTAATGTTATTGATCAATAATAATGATATAAAAACAAAATCAAAATAAATTTTTAATTTATTACATTATTACTTGTCCAAAATACTAACACTAATACAAAATCAAAATTAAAATAAATATATTAAAATAAAGTATTATCATGAATAAATGATAGCACTAACTTCTTCTTTTTCTTCTTGTTAAATTTTACTGTTAAAATAAGTTACCTAACACTCAACTCACCATTGATTTTATTATCATGAGACTTTTAAATTTAAAATATTATTTTAGGGTTAAGTTAAAATTTAGAATAAAAACTAATTTTACACTTAAAAATTTTCATTATTCACTCTCATACCTTATATAGAAGTTCCAAAAGTGCTCTATTTTGCTTTCACCCTTAGTGGAGGAAATCAAGAGGGCCTTTTGTTTCTAAAAGTCAACACCTTGAAGCTTAGAGAAGGAGAAAAATGAATGTTGTTTAGAGTAATTAGCACATTTGGGGCTTTGAGAGCCACTTAAAGTGAAACAGTGTCATCAAAATTTGGGAATTTGGAGCTTAAAGAATTGTTGACAAATGCGTGAAACTCAATGTTTATGGAGATAATGATGATGGTGGAGAAAAAGAAACTTTGTTTTGAGTTTGTAACTAGATTTTATTAGAGTTTGGCGAGAGACTCTTTGTTCAACTAACATGTTATTTACTTTTTACCTAGTAGTTATGGGGTACCATCCCCTTTCTACTATTTTATAAATTAAAAAAAATTTAAATATGTTTTTAGTCTCTATAAAATAGATTTTGATTTTGGTCCCTCTAAATTTTTTCTTTGTTTTGCATCCTTCTAAAATTTATAATGGTCCTTGTAAAATAAGTAAATTTTAATTTTAATTCCTATAAAATATTTATTTCTTTAGTTTTCATCCCTCTAAAATTTAAACTAATTATTTCTTGTCCTTAATGATCATTTTAAGATGGATAAATAACATTTATTTTAAAGACTTATAATTTTTTTTAGAGGTGTTAAATATCAATAATGATTGTAGGTAACACTTAAGATTTTTACTTAACCTTTTAATAAATAAAATGATTACATAAAAATAGGGACTAAAAATAATAATTTAATTTTATAAGGATGAAAAACATAGAAAAAAATTTACAATGACTAAAATCAAAACTTGCTAGTTTTATAGGGACCAAAAATATATTTAAGCCATTAAAAAAAGAGAGAAAAGAATGTGTGGTTACATTTTTTGGATGTGAGGGGAGAAGAGAGTATGCTTAAATGTTAAAAATAATTAGTATTTTAATATGTACAATGTACACATATATAT